CTTCCTGTAACGTCTCAGCCTGATTGGACCTTGTTTTCACACAAATGGACCCAGAATGATGTGAAATTGTGCTTCGTGCAACAATTCTGGGTGCCATTTAAAAGCCATAAGTGTTAATGACTCCATTCCTTTTTGGGGTAATAGATACTGTTGGTTAGAGTACCGTAAAACAAACCTGACCCCTCTGAGACATTCAGAAGCCAAGTTATAAGCCCCCAAAGGTGTGCTTAGAATGCAGCCTTTAAGGAACAAGTGATCCGGTGACGTTTATGACCTAACTTGACCCCCTTATGAATGTGCTATCATCATGAAACACAGGAATCATTTTCAACTCAATAGATTATACGTTTCTGTGATGTTTCAGCCTGATTGAAGCTTTTTTCTGAGAAATGGACCCGGATTGATGTGAAATTGTGCTTTGTGCGACATAATTCTGGGTGCAATTTAATAACCATAAGTGCTAAACACTCCATTCCTTTTTGGGGTTATAGGGGCTATTAATTGGAGTACTCTAAAGCAAACCTGACCTCTCTAGGACATTCAGAAGAAAAGTTATAAGCCCACAAAGGTGTAACTGAACGACTTCTTTAAAGTGACACCAGGCCCGGTGACCTTTGGGACATGGTTTGACTGCCTTAGGAATGTGCTATCATCATGAAACGTTCAGATCCCTTACAACTCAATAGATTCTACCTGCCTGTAATGTTTCAGCATGATTGGACCTTGTTTTCACACAAATGGACCCAGAAGGATGTGAAATTGTGCTTCGTGCAACATAATTCTGGGTGCCATTTAAAAACCATAAGTGCTAATGACTCCATTGCTTTTTGGGATTGTAGGGGCTGTTAATTGGAGTACTCTAAAACAAACCTGACCTCTCTAGGACATTCAGAAGAAAAGTTATAAGCCCACAAAGGTGTAACTGGACTACTTCTTTAAAGTGACACCAGGCCCGGTGACATTTGGGACATGGTTTGACCCCATTAGGAATGTGCTATCATCATGAAACGTTCAGATCACTTGCAACTCAATAGATTCTACCTTTCTGTAATGTTTCAGCCTGATTGGACCTTGTTTTCACACAAATGGACCCATAATGTTCTGAAATTGTGCTTCGTGCAACATAATTCTGGGTGCCATTTAAAGATCATAAGTGCTAATTACTCCATTCCTTTTTGGGGTAATAGGGGCTCTTGATTGGAGTACCGTAAAACAAACCTGACCTCTCTGAGACATTCAGAAGCGAAGTTATAAGCCCCCAAAGGTGTGCTTAGAATGCAGCCTTTAAGGAACAAGTGATCCGGAGACCTTTATGACCTAAGTTGACCCCCTTAGGAATGTGCTATCATCATAAAACATAGGAATAATTTACAACTCTATAGATTCTACTTTTCTGTGACGTTTCAGCCTGATTGAAGCTTTTTTCTGAGAAATGGTCCCAGAATGATGTGAAATTGTGCTTTGTGCGACATAATTCTGGGTGCCATTTAATAACCATAAGTGATAATGACTCCATTCCTTTTTGGGGTTATAGGGGCTGTTAATTGGAGTACACTAAAACAAAACTGACCTCTCTAGGACATTCAGAAGAAAAGTTATAAGCCCACAAAGGTGTAACTGGACTACTTCTTTAAAGTGACACCAGGCCCGCTGACCTTTGGGACATGGTTTGACCCCCTTAGGAATGTGCTATCATCATGAAACACAGGAATCATTTACAACTCAATAGATTCTACTTTTCTGTGACGTTTCAGCCTGATTGAAGCTTTTTTCTGAGAAATGGTCCCGGAATGATGTGAAATTGTGCTTTGTGCGACATAATTCTGGGTGCCATTTAATAACCATAAGTGCTAATGACTCCATTCCTTTTTGGGGTTATAGGGGCTGTTAACTGGAGTACTCTAAAACAAACCTGACCTCTCTAGGACATTCAGAAGAAAAGTTATAAGCCCACAAAGGTGTAACTGGACTACTTCTTTAAAGTGACACCAGGCCCGGTGACCTTTGGGACATGGTTTGACCGCCTTAGGAATGTGCTATCATCATGAAACGTTCATATCACTTACAACTCAATAGATTCTGTCTTCCTGTAACGTGTCAGCCTGATTGGACCTTTTTTTCACACAAATGGACCCAGAATGATATGAAATTGTGCTTCGTGCAACATAATTCTGGGTGCCACTTAAAAACTATAAGTGTTAATGACTCCATTCCTTTTTGGGGTAATAGGGGCTGTTGATCGGAGTACCGTAAAACAAACCTGACCTCTCTGAGACATTCAGAAGCCAAGTTATAAGCCCCCAAAGGTGTGCTTAGAATGCAGCCTTTAAGGAAGAAGTGATCCGGTGACCTTTATGACCTAACTTGACCCCCTTAGGAATGTGCTATCATCATGAAACACAGGAATCATTTACAACTCAATAGACTCTACTTTTCTGTGACGTTTCAGCCTGATTGAAGCTTTTTTCTGAGAAATGGACCCGGAATGATGTGAAATTGTGCTTTTGCGACATAATTCTGGGTGCCATTTAATAACCATAAGTGCTAATGACTCCATTCCTTTTTGGGATTATAGGGACTGTTAATTGGAGTACGCTAAAAGAAACGTGACCTCTCTAGGACATTCAGAAGAAAAGTTATAAGCCCACAAATGTGTAACTGGACTACTTCTTTAAAGTGACACCAGGCCCGGTGACCTTTGGGACATGGTTTGACCCCCTTAGGAAATTGCTATCATCATGAAACGTTCAGATCACTTACAAGTCAATAGATTGTACCTTCCTGTAACGTTTCAGCCTGATTGGACCCTGTTTCCACACAAATGGACCCAGAATGATGTGAAATTGTGCTTCGTGCAACATAATTCTGGGTGCCATTTAAAAACCATAAGTGCTAATGACTCCATTCCTTTTCGGGAAAATAGGGGCTGTTGATAGGAGTACCCTAAAACAAACCTGACCTCTCTGAGACATTCAGAAGCCAAGTTATAAGCCCCCAAAGGTGTGTTTAGAACACTGCCTTTAAGGAATAAATGATCCGGTGAACTTTATGACCTAACTTGACCTCCTTAGGAATGTGCTATCATCATGAAACACAGGAATCATTTTCAACTCAATAGATTCTACGTTTCTGTGACGTTTCAGCCTGATTGAAGCTTTTTTCTGAGAAATGGACCCGGAATGATGTGAAATTGTGCTTTGTGCGACATAATTCTGGGTGCAATTTAATAACCATAAGTGCTAAACACTCCATTCCTTTTTGGGGTTATAGGGGCTTTTAATTGGAGTACTCTAAAGTAAACCTGACCTCTCTAGGACATTCAGAAGAAAAGTTATAAGCCCACGAAGGTGTAACTGGACTACTTCTTTAAAGTGACACCAGGCCCGCTGACCTTTGGGACATGGTTTGACCCCCTTAGGAATGTGCTATCATCATGAAACACAGGAATCATTTACAACTCAATAGATTCTACTTTTCTGTGACGTTTCAGCCTGATTGAAGCTTTTTTCTGAGAAATGGTCCCGGAATGATGTGAAATTGTGCTTTGTGCGACATAATTCTGGGTGCCATTTAATAACCATAAGTGCTAATGACTCCATTCCTTTTTGGGGTTATAGGGGCTGTTAACTGGAGTACTCTAAAACAAACCTGACCTCTCTAGGACATTCAGAAGAAAAGTTATAAGCCCACAAAGGTGTAACTGGACTACTTCTTTAAAGTGACACCAGGCCCGGTGACATTTGGGACATGGTTTGACCGCCTTAACCAGTGTTGGGAAAGTTACTTTAAATTAGTAATGTAGTTACATTACTAGTTACTTCTTTCAAGAGTAACTCAGTTACTTTAAGTTACTCGTTAGTTTCTAAGTAACTAGTTACTAGGGAAAGTAACTGTTTTTATTCAGATTTTTCTTATTAAAATGTGTTACTTCCTTAACTGGATAGCCAGTAAGGTTGCTGGTCTTCTTGCTTGCTTACATGGTAGCCCTATCCTGCCACAAGTTGACTGCGCCACCTAGTGGTCTGAACATAAAATGTGAGTGCAAGTGAATGATGAAATGAATGAAACTAAATTAGAAAGGACAATGTCTGTTTTGTGTCACTTTTTATCCGTCCGTTTTAATCAATTTCTATTGTTTTAACCCTCTACAAATGCAAACACATAATTTTGTGGTTGATGTCACACAGTGCTATAAATCTAATCATTGTACCTAGTAGGCTATCACTACAAAAAAGCAGTGGATCACAAAAAACACGACATACAGTACCCTACTAACACAGCCACAACGTCGCATTTTGCGACGTTTCGTTTGTGACGTAGTGACAACGTAGCTGCTACGTTTAGGTTACTACGTTCCACAGGGGACGTAGTTGGTACATTGCTGAAACGTCACACTACAACGTCCTCCAAAAGTCACTTTACAACCTCTGTTAAATGTCTTCTCTGTAACTTATTTGGCACTTTGAATAACAACGTTGCTGCTACGTTGTTACAACGTGATAACTGTAGTTCCAGAATAAATTAAATTTGAGAGATTTTATCATCAAATTAGATTTTCAGCTTATCCATGAAAAATAACACACAAAGATATTTAATTGGGTATTTTAATTGTTTTTTATTATCATTAGAGTTTTGACAATAATTAAATAAACAGTTAGTAGTTGCAGTACTTGAATCGTGTTTATAGCTAAAATGTCTTTCTAATTTAAAAAAATGGGACCTTTTATTTTATGAAAAAAAACTTTTCTAAACTTTGTTTACTGAAAAACTCATTTTTGCCGTTTACAAATGTTTACTTTCTAAAATCCACCAGCAAGGAAATGTAAGCTAATTTACATGTTACTGGCCCCACATCATTCCAATGGAATGGCTTGTTGCAACAACCCTGTCCCAGCCAGTTCTCTGATTTGTTATGGTATCACATGCTCCAGACCATCTTCCAATCAGCTTAATCTGCCTCTTTCTTTGTTCTTATTTCATCCCTTGTTTTTTTCCACAAGATTTCCAGTTAGTTGCTCTTTGCTATTTGGCTACTTCGGATTTATCTGTCAACCACTCACTCCTTAGTTCGCTTGCTTCAGGTAAGAAAAAGTTTTATCATGTGCTTGTTAGTTCTAATTTTGGTTTACAAAAGGCAATAGCATATATCTGCCCTCAAACAATAGCTACCGCATGGTAGCTTACCTACTGTAGTCTATTCGGTCTGTTCAAGTAAAATCAAACAAACTAACTGGACTTTTCGCTTGATTTAGAAAAATATCAATCTAATTTCAAGCAAGATGACTCTGTAACTATTCTATTGATATAACTACAACCAGTGTATTTGTAGAGTTAGCAGTCCAGCTACCGTTAGCCACTAGGTAGCCCCATTGCTAAGCGGTCATTACACGTGTTCTCACATGTCTGCTCGATCAGTAAACCTCTGGGCTAATGTTCTGCCCTAAACGTTATATGCGCGTCTCAGTGGTTTTTAATAATTAGGTAATGTTTATTGGTGTTTAAGCAAGCCTTTTCACTGTGTCTGTCGACTTTATTGAGATCTTGTGTAGAGAGACGGCCATGTTTAGCTAAACATGAATGGAGCGTTAGAAATTTGTGTTTGGGGCAGGGGGCGTGATGGACTTTTAGCCATTTGAGCAAGGATGTATCTAAAATATCCCAAGGACTGGACTTGGGCAACCCAGTCTTCCAAACTAGCAAAAGAATAAAGAATCAAATTGTTTAGTTAGCTAGTATTAAACATTGTAACACAAAATATTGCTTTAGTTTGAGATGTGTAGTCAAAAGCTACATTTTCATAAACAATGTTGTCTTAAACAATGGGTGAGTTTGTTGTTTTTTGAACATGCAGTTAATTCAGAAATTCCTGTGGCTATGTGTCTGTGTAAACTTGGTTGAAAACTAATCTCTTTTCCAAAATCGTAGGTGCATTATTGTTACTGGACAGCGAACAAAACCACATTCAGGAACCTAAATGTGGAACATCCATCTCCTGATTGGACTCAACATAGAGTAAGGCTATTTCAGCGCCAAACAGGTACTGCAACTACTACTTGGCCATCAAATATAAATGGTTTCCCTCGAAACTTTTCACATGAACTTGACTGTTATGCTTATTAAGAGGAATATGAAGAAGCCAAGCGTCTTGCCAGGCAGTACCTGGAAGATTCCCAAGCCGAGAGTGAGAGAGAGGTGACCAAACAAAAGGTTAAGAACAATAAGCGGTACCTGTCCAGCTCTGATGATGAAGCAGGTAATGTTTCTGTCATAAACATGTTGTATATTCTTTTTAATAATATAAAATTGCAAAAAAAACATATCTGTTTGCTTTCAGGTCCATGCTCTACTGAGAGAACGAGAGGTTAGTTTTGAGCCGATGTTCTACTGCTAGAACTTGTGTTTTTAACTAAATCTAATTTTATTTTGTGGGGTGCAGAGCTCCATAGTAATTTTCTAGCCCAATAATGTTTTTATTTTTTATTTTTTCATTTTTTGCAGTTCCCATGGCAAAGAGAATGCTGTTGCCGATAGAACCATTCAGCAGAGATGGTGCGTATATTTTCCTTTATGTTTATCTAATTTATTCAGGCCATACTTCAATTTGTTGTCTAGACTGCCCACCAGCTACTTTAGACTGCTGTCAAATTTATTTGTTTAATTTAGTTTTGATGTTTTTCCCCCTTCAGTTCCTGTTTCGAAGAGGACAACACTGCCAACTGAGTCCCTCAACGGTGAAGGTACACAATTTATCTTCTGCTGTAACTAAAATGTCAACTGATTTGTATATTTGCCTTTTAAAACTTTGCACTACTACTATTAAAATGGGTTTTGTCAACTCATAGATTTAATGGCCACAAGTACACCAAGGCAAAGAGTCACCCCAAGGCAAAAAGCCACTGAAGGCAAGTAACTTAAAATACCTCTACCAAAACCTAGAGTGGTGTATTAAAATGTTTTGGTAGATTTTTTTTTGAGAACTTATCATTTTATCATTTCAGATCAAGCAGCAGGCATCGCTGATGCTTTAAAGAATATTGCTGCAATCACAGGTGAGATTGAATTTCCCTTTCTTAAAAGGTCCACTGATAAGTTAAATCTGTTATTTTTGTTGTAATTTATGATTCTTCTTTTGTCCAAGATATCTGCAAGTCACTGCTGATCAAAGTGAACATGATGGAGGGGAAAATGCACGCCATGGAGAAGCTGCTCCATAATGTGGCTTCTCAGCATTCTGAGAGCCAAACTCAAGATGATCTGCGCCTGTAGCCTTGTAAAGATGCGGAGGACTTTACCTTGCTTGAAAATAACTTGCAGGACAAGGCATATTTCCAGCAAGCTGTAAGTAAACAATTGTAGACATTCAGAAAATGGTTTTAATGAAATCTGATATTTTATTTGATCAACTTTGTACAATTTATAAGGTCCGTTTTCTAAGCCTCATTGGAGGACGGAAGCTGGGAGAAAATACAAGAAGGACCATGCTGGCTGTCGCCAGCAATGCTGTTTGGTGTGGATACAGACTGTATGGAAGAAGCAGAAAGCCAAGCTGTGTAACCTTAAAATATTTAGGCTGATCAAATGTGAGTTGATGCTTTTTACTGGACTTGTTTTATAGAATTTCATTAAATCTTTTTACAGCGGTCTGTCACAACTGTAAAACAGTTTCAGTAATCTTAAGGTTTCTTGTATATCACCTGTCTGTTCCCAGGTGCTGTGAAGACCTCGCTTCCAGACTCCACAGATAAGGACATAGAGGTGCAAATAATGGAAGTCCTTAAGCATGCTCCCCAGAAAGTCAGAAGAGAGGTAATTGATTTATGACTGAAAGCTTGTTGGAGACATTTATGTGCTAATTGCTCACTAATTTATACCTCCTTTTTTTCCCTTCAGGCTGAAGCACAGCATCGTGCCACACAAATGGAGGCCCATTCTTCTGAGGAGGACTAAGTGAACCTGCACCCTTTCTGTTTTATTTTTCTCTGTTTTGCTCACAATTTTTGATTTTTCTATTTATATATATATATATTTTTGATCATTTTTTTAAGCGCCTTGTGATTTTTATTTTGAGAGGCGCTATAAAAATGTTTTGTTTAAATTGTGTATGCAAATGCCAAATCTTTATGTAATAAAAAGCTGAAAAGTCAGTTTATTGTCCATCCTGTGAAATTACACCTGATCCTGCTGCTTACTATTCAATTCAATTCAAAAATACTTTATTAATCCCAGAGGGAAATTGATTGCTGTAGTAGCTCAGAATAATAATAATCAAGTCATCAAAGAGTTGTTGTATATTACAATGGCTGTTGGCAGGAAGGATCCTCAAGTCTTGTGAAGAGAATGCTCAGGGTTGTCCATAATTGTCTTGATTCTCTGGAGAATCCTTTGCATTAACTCCTCCAGTGGTTCCGAAATGAAAACATGCAGTAGAGCTTTTAAATGAATTCAAGACACCGCTGTCCTATATTACTTGTTTTTAAGGTTTTTATACATTTGTTTTTCCATTCTGGTTGTTTTTGCTGTTAATCTGCCATTTGTTTAGCAATATAATTTCCTGTGGTAAATAATGAATAAAGGTGAAAAAAAAAGTTAACCTGAAAACGTCTCTGCAATGTGCCACAAACATTTAGTTGGTACGTTGTCACAACGTTATAATAGCGATGTTGTCACAACATTGCAGTAAAGTTGTGGATATGTCGCGATAACGTTCCAACAACGTCCTATGTGACGTTCTGACAACGTTGTAGCGGAATTTCACTTTGGAAGTCGCTACTACGTAACATGCGACGTTCCTGCAACATCACAAGGTGTCAGAAAATACGTTGCGACTACGTTGTTGCAACGGACCTGTGTTAGTAGGGAGGAGAGCATCTTTACTTCCAAGAACATGTGCAAACCTTGTCTTGACCGCCTGTAATAATGACACAGCAAGAGTGCAAAAAGCATTATTGCATGTGAAAGTATGCATTGTTTCAACAATAAATGAATTAAACATTAACACCATGCTGTAATTTTACATAGAATGTATTTTATTTTGTAAATAACATGTATTTTACTACATGTTGTTTATATATATATTTTATTTATTGATCATCATTTATTTATTGATCAATCGTGCATAGCCTTTATACACCCACAACACTAACGACACAATATAAAAGCAATTGAGTTAATTTCATTAAAGGGAAATTCCACCCCTAAGTAAAATGTATCTATTCAGAGGAAAAAAATCATTTTGTAAACAGCCCAGTCATTCTCCTGATCTGGCAGCAGTCATTTTGCTTTAGTTTAGCATAAAACAATGTAAGTGAGAGGAAACTAGCATTTGGGTTTTCCCATTTACTTGTTTTATCCTAAATTAAAGCAAAATGACTGCTGCCAGATCAGGAGAATGACTGAGCTGTTTACAAAATGCCTTTTTTCCTCTTATTTAACTCTGAGGAATATAACAACAGACACAATTTTACTTAGGGGTAGAATATCCTTTTTTAGGTAAACACAAAACAAAATACCATCTCTTACCTTGACAACTGCATCTGGTAGCCCAACAAGGATTTGTAAGCCATTTTCTTTCCCCAGAGTCTTGGTTATCAGTGATTCCAGTGTGGGTAGGAGTGTGCCGTAAAAACAATGGTCTTCTCCCTGAAGAATGTCCAGTGCCACAGTAAGTGGTTGCATGACAGCACAGTACTCTCTGATACACTGATGCTCCCTTTCATTGAAACATTTCAACTGTAGTGAGGATGAGATTGTGTTCAACTCCACCAAAGGTATCTTCGAAATCCTCTCCAGAGCATCATAGAACGAGTTCCACCTGGTTGTACAAGGTACTAGTAGCTTCTTTGCAATAATGTTGTCCACGATCTCAGCAGCCAATGTGGAACGACTGGCCTTGTTCCACAGGCCAGCACATTTTGTGGTGGAACTCCTGTAGATGGTTTTCGTCGCAGCTTCAGACAATAGCCACTTCTCCACATCAGTGCAAGAGATGAGATTCATTGTGTGCGACACACATCTCTGATGTGGAGGTAAAGAAACTGTGTCATCAGCATCATCAGCAGCACCATTCTGCAGCACATCCCCAATGGAAACAAAAGTCACCTCATCCTCCTCATCTTTGTCATCAAACTCAGGTGGTGGCTGGTACACTTGAAAGCCTTGACAAAATTGGAGCCATTATCTGTTACAGTTAATGTGATTTTAAACGACAGGCCATGAGAAGAGTTAATGTTGTCCAGCTCACTTGCAATGGTGTCAGATGTGTGTCGACCCAAACATCTCCTGCATGCCAGCGCCGCTTTCTCACGTTTCATGTTTTTTGGATTTATCCAATGAGCAGTTACACCAAGAAAACTTTTATTATGCCGAGTCCAAATGTCTGCTGTTGTAGAGACATGTTCTAACTCGTCAAATGTTGTTTTGAGCTCTGACTCCATTTTGACATATTCTTGGTCTAGGTAACTGGAAAATGTCTTTCTGCATGGTGCCTGCCCGGCTCTTCCTCGCAGAGGTATATGGCTAATCAGTCCTCTGAAAGCATGGGACTCAACTGTTGAAATAGGTTTCATGTCTTCCACAACATACCTGGCAATCAGCCTGTGTAGCTGTGGCTGGGTGATAGACTGTGCAGCAGGCTTTGTGAAATCAAGCTTTCGTTGTTTTGCTGGAGAAGCGTCAGCAGAGCTGGTGTCACCGACAACAACGTTACGTTTGGGGTCTTTTTCAACTAGCTTGGTAGATGCGTGCTGTTTCTGAAGATGTTTCATCAGATTAGAATTGCTGGTCTTTGATGTGGATAGAGTTTTCGAACCTCCACAGAGAGTACAGTTCACCACAATATTCTTGTCTTTTACCGACAGAAAGGAAAAATAATGAGCATACTTCCACGAGAGAAATCCTGCTCCCGGACTGTCTTCATCTGCCGCCATAGTTCTAGCCTCCGTGCGTTACATCACAACGTCACCTGCGCTTTTACGTCCACCACGGAAACGTAACCTTTTTTTTTTCTTTTTCGGAAACGTAACTTTGTTTACTGGCATGTCGGTGGTCGGTGTACAATCCTTTCCAATAAAGTTTGTTTCAAAAAAGTCCAACACGGAAACTGCGGTCCGTAGCTTGGCACGTAAGGTACCGAATAACGAGCCTATTTAAATCCCAGCAACGATAAACGCGTTCCTGATTTCGGCAAACTAACTAGTTACCGTGGACGTTACCACAATAATAACATAGTTACTGTAACGCGAGATTTAATAACGCGTTAGTCCCAACACTGGCCTTAACAATGTGCTATCATCATGAAACGTTCATATCACTTACAACTCAATAGATTCTATCTTCCTGTAACGTTTCAGCCTGATTGGACCTTGTTTTCACACAAATGGACCCAGAATGATGTGAAATTGTGCTTCGTGCAACATAATTCTGGGTGCCATTTAAAAACCATAAGTGTTAAAGACTCCATTCCTTTTTGGGGTAATAGGGGCTGTTGGTTGGAGTACCGTAAAACAAACCTGACCCCTCTGAGACATTCAGAAGCCAAGTTATATGCCCCCAAAGGTGTGCTTAGAATGCAGCCTTTAAGGAACAAGTGATCCGGTGACGTTTATGACCTAACTTGACCCCCTTATGAATGTGCTATCATCATGAAACACAGGAATCATTTACAACTCAATAGATTCTACTTTTCTGTGACGTTTCAGCCTGATTGAAGCTTTTTTCTGAGAAATGGACCCGGAATGATGTGAAATTGTGCTTTGTGCGACATAATTCGGGGTGCCATTTAATAACAATAAGTGCTAATGACTCCATTCCTTTTTGGGTTTACAGGGGCTTTTAATTGGAGTACGCTAAAAGAAACGTGACCTCTCTAGGACAGTCAGAAGAAAAGTTATAAGCCCACAAAGGTGTAACTGGACTACTTCTTTAAAGTGACACCAGGCCCGGTGACCTTTGGGACATGGTTTGACCCCTTTAGGAATGTGCTATCATCATGAAACGTTCAGATCACTTACAACTCAATAGATTGTACCTTCCTGTAACGTTTCATCCTGATTGGACCTTGTTTTCACACAAATGGACCCAGAATGATGTGAAATTGTGCTTCGTGCAACATAATTCTGGGTGCCATTTAAAAACCATAAGTGCTAATGACTCCATTCCTTTTTGGGGTAATAAGGGCTGTTGATTGGAGTACCCTATACCAAACCTGACCTCTCTTAGACATTCAGAAGCCAAGTTATAAGCCCCCAAAGGTGTGTTTAAAATGCTGCCTTTAAGGAATAAGTGATCCGGTGAACTTTATGACCTAACTTGACCTCCTTAGGAATGTGCTATCATCATGAAACACAGGAATCATTTTCAACTCAATAGATTCTACGTTTCTGTGATGTTTCAGCCTGATTGAAGCTTTTTTCTGAGAAATGGACCCGGAATGATGTGAAATTGTGCTTTCTGCGACATAATTCTGGGTGCAATTTAATAACCATAAGTGCTAAAGACTCCATTCCTTTTTGGGGTTATAGGGGCTGTTAAGTGGAGTACTCTAAAATAAACCTGACCTCTCTAGGACATTCAGAAGAAACGTTATAAGTCCACAAAGGTGTAACTGGACTACTTCTTTAAAGTGACACCAGGCCCGGTGACCTTTGGGACATGGTTTGACCGCCTTAGGAATGTGCTATCATCATGAAACGTTCATATCACTTACAACTCAATAGATTCTGTCTTCCTGTAACGTGTCAGCCTGATTGGACCTTTTTTTCACACAAATGGACCCAGAATGATGTGAAATTGTGCTTCGTGCAACATAATTCTGGGTGCCACTTAAAAACCATAAGTGTTAATGACTCCATTCCTTTTTGGGGTAATAGGGGCTGTTGATCGGAGTACCTTAAAACAAACCTGACCTCTCTGAGACATTCAGAAGCCAAGTTATAAGCCCCCAAAGGTGTGCTTAGAATGCAGCCTTTAAGGAAGAAGTGATCCGGTGACCTTTATGACCTAACTTGACCCCCTTAGGAATGTGCTATCATCATGAAACACAGGAATCATTTACAACTCAATAGATTCTACTTTTCTGTGACGTTTCAGCCTGATTGAAGCTTTTTTCTGAGAAATGGACCCGGAATGATGTGAAATTGTGCTTTTGCGACATAATTCTGGGTGCCATTTAATAACCATAAGTGCTAATGACTCCATTCCTTTTTGGGATTATAGGGACTGTTAATTGGTGTACGCTAAAAGAAACGTGACCTCTCTAGGACATTCAGAAGAAAAGTTATAAGCCCACAAAGGTGTAACTGGACTACTTCTTTAAAGTGACACCAGGCCCGGTGACCTTTGGGACTTGGTTTGACCCCCTTAGGAATGTGCTATCATCATGAAACGTTCAGATCACTTACAAGTCAAAAGATTGTACCTTCCTGTAACGTTTCAGCCTGATTGGACCTTGTTTCCACACAAATGGACCCAGAATGATGTGAAATTGTGCTTCGTGCAACATAATTCTGGGTGCCATTTAAAAACCATAAGTGCTAATGACTCCATTCCTTTTCGGGGTAATAGGGGCTGTTGATTGGAGTACCCTAAAACAAACCTGACCTCTCTGAGACATCCAGAAGCCAAGTTATAAGCCCCCAAAGGTGTGCTTAGAATGCAGCCTTTAAGGAACAAGTGATCCGGTGACCTTTATGACCTAAGTTGACCCCCTTAGGAATGTGCTATCATCATGAAACATAGGAATCATTTACAACTCAATAGATTCTACTTTTCTGTGACGTTTCAGCCTGATTGAAGCTTTTTTCTGAGAAATGGACCCGGAATGATGTGAAATTGTGCTTTGTGCGACATAATTCTGGGTGCCATTTATTAACCATAAGTGCTAATAACTCCATTCCTTTTTGGGTTTAT